AAATTTTGATTGTTCTTTTACAAATTTTTAAACGAACCCACTAAACGGTTGAGGAGTTTTTCAATGCTCACTGATTTTACACGTACTCTTATGGAAAGAGACGATCTTCATGGATAAAATAACAAAAAATGTTGAAGAAATGGTACCAATATTAGTGAACTGGAAATCAGTTGCAAAGCCTGTGATATATACATATAGTACATGTTCAAATATACAAAAATATTTTTTTTCATAAAAAATGGCAGTGCTGGTGCTACTTTTGTAGAACACCTACTCCGTCGACTGTTTTTCCCGATGAAATTCAGTAGGAAAGTACGTAGGATTTCTTAAAAATGTTTATTTTTGTAAAAATAGTAAGCATTTGAAGTAGAAAGTCGATTTTGGCCAATGTGTTTAGTACAGAAGTACTTGTAAAAAGAAAAATTGTTATAAGATATAAAAAAAAAATCCTACGTACTTGCTTGGAAAATTTGATCTAGTAAATGAAAAATTCTTGTTTTTTAAACCCCTTGAGTGTACAAAATGCTTGTCCCCGCGTAACGATTCGTGCCGCGCCGTTAAATCGGCGATTCCAAAAGCGATAACGCACCATTTTATAAAGCTGTGACTACGCGATGGTATACTCGATGCCCTTTCGACGAATAACTGTCGCCGCGATAAACCGCGTTGGTACGACGACGGTACACCTCGAAGATCAGCCAACAATTTCGCCCGACGTAAACTTTTTTTACGGCCGTGCAAACGCACCTATGACCCTCGTAACAAACGATTCTTGTCCCGTGTCTTACCTATCTACGGTAATACATTTTGAAGCCAAAAATATCGATATTAGACACATTTTTTTTTTTTTTCATTTGTTCGTTTTATTTTTGGAAGTCGATACGTAAATTTTACATCAGTGAAACCACGAATCCTCGCTGACATAAGTTAGATATCAACCGGCGACAGAATTTGATTTTGAAAATGACTGTTGCATCGCTGCAACACTGGACGTTAAAGGGTTAATAAATCGATACACGTTCGAGAAACATTTCTGCGTATAAATTCTCTAGAAAAATCTGGTCGTCCTCCGTCCTTGCTGCGGAACGCGCGAGAGAATTTAACGATCCATAAACACGAGGAAATCCATTCGCCTCTTTTCAACTTTGAAACCACCCCCATTACTTATTTCCTTCTACTTGGTCGTCGTGTGCTCGACGTCGTCCTCGTCTGGGGCGAGAGGCCTCGGCGCTTCGGATAGATGCATGTTTATTGCTGCATTAGCGGGCGAGACCGCGGCGGAGGATAAAGCCCAGCCAGCTGCCGGGATTCCGTTGGTTTACTGGAGGATTTCGTTCTCTCCCGCAAAATATCCCCACGTCCCCCTTCTCGGGAACGGGATCTGCCTCGTCCTGTTTTCGCATTACCGGAAACAGCGTACAATTCCTCTTCCAACGACGGCCTTGAGATATGAACTAGCTAGCGTAAAGGGTTGTTGAGCCCCGTCTAATGGCCGGTCGCTTACTGCTACCAATTGGAATCTTTTAAGCGGAAACACTGGTCACGGATTTACCGAAATTGGCTCCGGGGAGTTTCGACGATTCGGGTTATACAGGGTGTACCAAAAATGTTGGTGGACCCGGAAATGAGAGACTCGTGGGACGATTTGAAACAAGTTTTTCCTTAGCAAAAATGTTATCCCAGGCTTTGTTAACGAGATATTAACGAAAAACCCTGACCAATCAAAATACGACAATCAAGCAACGTTAGATACCAATCGCAACGCGTAGGCGAGCCCATTACCTACGAGATTCAGCCGGCGTAGAAGTGACTCTAAACCTGTATATAATCACAGGGATTGCGTACTATTTTATATTTAGTTAAACACACAAGTTTATATTACACTTGAACTCTTGATTCACGGACCCCATCCAAATCCCACAATAGGAACGTTTTATGAATATCTTGACGAAGGGAAGACGTATGTCTGCATTCGATCAGTATACACTCGGAAGGACACGAGGCAAAACTGTTTCCACTCGAGATCTCTGTTATCCGAAAACGCGACTCGCAAAACAAAGCCCTGGTGGAGAACGGGTGCAAACCGTAGAAACGACGCGGAGCAAAACGAGCCTCCCGCCACCGTGGGGGTATATTAATCCGTAATGGCGAAACGATTAGTCAGCGGGGGCCCCCGACGCAACGCTGACACTCGCACGCGCAACCTGCACATGATTAATAATCACGGCCGGCCGAACCGTCGTTATCGGCGCGCGCGGACGTTATCGTTATCTTCCCGGCTATTTGGTCGCACTTTTGCGAGCGGTGACGAGGCCGCCAGGGGACTGTCGGAAATTAATCTGATCCTCCATTCGGACGTCCTTTCGAAGGACCAATCGTCCCCGAGAGACAGATGATCCACCTCGATCGAACCAGTTGGATTCGCAAGAATGAACGTGGACGAAACGGCGCCCCTGTAGCGAACGGGTGACGCAGACCCCCCCCCCCCCCCCCCCAACTTCATCACGGGGAAAATGTGTTCACGACAGTGTGACCGTCCAGTAAAAATATTTCGTGGAAGCTTATGCAGGAAAACGGTACTGAAGCTGAACAAACTTACTAAATTTTTATTAAATCGCGTATCGTCCAATAAAGGGCAATTTACGATATTACTAACTTATTATTTAAACTACTGACCGTTTAAATATCTCGATTGTTCCATTCTTGTGTGCTAAGCTTTAAATTGTATAGCAAAATTTTTGCGTACGGTAAACCATCGATGAGTGTTCGGAGGCTACACGAGACTGTCAAGGGATGGACCTCAATCGCGATGGCGAAGTGACTTGTGTGGCTTGTAAATTTTGAAGCCATAAAAAAGAATAAGAAAAGATTTCAAATTAAAATTTTGGTGGGAGGGGGAGGAAAAAAAAAAGAGAAATCACGCTTGCTTTTCTGAACGTGACATATTGGGAGGGGACGATATTAAATTCATATCTCGAACTCTCATGTTATTATTATCATTATTATTATTCTTTGGATGGAAGAAAATACTAGATCTGTTGGTGAACGTACCAGGACAGTAAAAATTTGAAAAAAAATACTAGAACTAGTACAAAAGTAGTAGGACTAGTACGAAAGTCTAGTGGTGGTAGCACTGGATTACGGCGCATGAACGAGTAACCACGGGGCTGAAAGATTATGTTGACGCACCAGGAGAGAGAGAAGGTGCAATGATGGCCTGGAAGGGCGGGGGGGGGTATGTGATATTCGTTGTGCAGCGACGACATGTGCGCGGCACATCTCCGCCGAGGGACGCCGGGGAAAGGGATGAATTATTCGTTGTCTCATGCACTCTGCACCCCCGGACAGTGACACCGCGTTGTCCTGTCCGCCAGCGTGTCCGACCCTCTGTCGCTGACACTGTCATCCATAACAGTCCGCGAGAGACCAGCCGTGCTCCGTGTGCCTACACCCCCCTTTCTTCTCTGTTTTTTTTTTTATTTTGCTTTTTATTTTCACCAAGAAGACCCGTGCGCGTTCTTGCCCTTCGCGAAAAAAAAAACACGCTCATGCCTTTCGACTGGCTGGTTTTGTTCGAGGCCTAAAAGGTTCCGCTGTGCTTTCACCGGTGTGTCTTCCTTTGGAGAGGAAGTTTAGGGCGAAAGAGGGTGGATTAAATGGCTGTATGTTTATAACGGATGCTTTTGAGAACCGAGGAACACGTCCCTTTGTCGACGAGAATATCTCTTCCTCGTTCTCTCTGTAGTTTCCGCCTGTGCCTCGTTGCTGCGCATCGCGACATAAAGCTAAAGTGACTCGCGTGTTCGTTTATATACTTTTTAAATTGCAATTAAGTCTATAAATTTGTCTGCGATCTCCTTTTATGTATGTCGAATTGCAGTGTGCCGACAGGTTTGTGAATAATGTTGTAATTCAATGAGCAACAAGAAAATAAACTATTTCATATACTCAAAATTACAAAACAGAATGTAATTGAAAACTGGTGCTAGGTTTTTGGTGACTTTTGTATTTTATCGTAAGGTTTTTACTTTCTTCACTTTTTCGGTCCTGCATACTTCGTTATACAGATCATTCTGAAATAGGTGTTCCGCGAAAATTTGGAAAGATTTCATCATCAAAGTCATTAAGTGCTTTATTTATTCATATTTTTATGTTTACATCATATTATAGTTTCATACATAAAAATAATTACTAAACAAATAAGGTGTTGTAATAACATTTTTTTTTTTTTAATTTTTACTAGTAGGGATTACCCAACCTAAAAAATAAGCTAAGTGTTCCGTTAAAATTTCCGGGTTTGCGAAGTGTTCTATTGCAGAAAAAATTTGGGAAACCCTGCCCTATAAGAAGCTGAGTTTGCTCATCGGTGTATGTGCAGACACTGTGAGGCTGGCTTGCAAGGAAGCCTCGAAGTGTCCACGCAGCTTAACGCGTGTCGTCGTCCGAGAATTCGTTCCCGATAGAACGATATACAGTTTCGAGAGTCGTACGAATTCCTTTGCGGGGGCGTAGAGAGAGAATCCATCGAGAATGGGCCGTTTCGAGGATAGAGGGGATGAATCGAGCGACGCTGGGTTTCGGGGCTGCCAGGAATATCCGAGTTTCAGGTCGTTAATTAATTGGTCCGTAAATTAACGGGCAACAATGAGCCTCCGAGCAGCGTGTAACCAGGCGAATCACGGAATTGCTGGCACGCGTGCGAACGTAAGAATATGCGTGATGTATGCGGTATTCCGGCTCTACCCTCTATCCCCGTTCAAATTTCCCCTGCACGCCAGACAAGAATATCCCCCTCCATCCCTAGACTTCTCACCGAGTTTTTCGATTATCTATGACCAGCGTGAATGTTCCTTGTTACCGTGTATATAAATATGTGTGGCTGTCGAATGTTGCTGATTCGCGAAAACTCGATGTCCAAGGGAGAGATCGTAGAAGAATCATTATTCCTGGTTGCGTTTGGATTGTTTTGCGTCACGATTTGTTCAACCATTTTGTTCCAGATAAGCTATGAGCGTTCTACTCGATTACCTTCGTCTGTTACACCAACGTCGATGTGATCTGTACCGGTGAGTGCCATTTCCAAAAAATTTCCACAGATTCGTTACCCCGAAAAAACGAGAAACCGCATTCACGAGAACGGTAATCTGGACCACGAAAATACAAGGTGGGGGTCTCGTCGTCGGATTTTCGGTAACCAGGGTGAAAATCCGTGGAAACCACCTAGGGAAACTATCTGTTTTTTTTTTTTTTCGTTTTCTTCTCTTTCCTTCTCTGAAAATGTCACCGGATGCGCACGGACAGCAGCAAGAGGGTCGTCGGCTGCGGTTGAAAATTAAATGAAACGCGAAACGGAAGGAAGCGTTCGCGCGCGTTCGCGACCGTAAATGAACCGAGGAAGCGAAGTAATTTTCCAGTCCGCTTAGAGAACGTGCAGCGTTCCGTGCAACGTTGGAAAAGAAAAGGAAGAATAAATGTCTCGGAAAGAGCCAGATCCCGGGAAGAGGATGTTGTAGACGCGCGAGTACAGCGTGAGTCAGGCCCCCCTCTCGGTAGGGGAAAAACGGCAACTACCGTCGGTGTGTGCTTTTCACAAGAGATCTTCCGTCGCAGTTTTCGGTCCTTTGCAGCTCGTGTACGGCCTCTCTGTGTGTTGCACCTGTAGCACCGGCGGCAGCCAGGTCGTAAACGGTCGCGAATCGAGTGCACCTGTTGCGACGGTACACCGGACCTCTACCACAGATCTACGAGTTGGTACAATGGGTTGCGCCACACAGGGGCCATTTTTCCCGAGATGCTTAAAAAAAAAAATTTCGTGAGTTTTGCATTTTTTACAAGATTTTCAACAAGCCCAAAAACATGAGAATACAGAAATGAAAGTTTATGAAAGTCCTAGGAAGTTATGAATTTTGGATTTTCGAGAATAAGGACCACTTGTGCACCACTGTGTACTGATGGCGATTTAACTGACTGGAATTTAACTCGATGGACAATTACGGATCGATAGTACTATCGACGAAATGCACAAACATCTTCGACCTCGAGATACAGTGAATTCTCAATGAGTGGTCGATGGTTCCTCGGCAGTAAATATTAAATATTTCATAAACCAACAGCCATTTGCGACTGAAAGAAATATCATTGGCTTTAGAATTCCAAGCTCTATCACTGTGCTAAGCCTAATTAAAAAACTTCCGTTCTGTTGCGATTTTTGTAAACTTCCATGAAACGAAACTACTTGTCCGATTAACTTCAAATTTTGAAAGTATATTAATGAAACACGAGGTACCAAATCAACAATAATATATTTCCTTAGAAGATAGTAAAAATGTTGAAAATTTCGAAGCCAATGATATTTATTTTAACCGCACATGGCCATTAGTTTATGAAATATTTAATGTTCAGTGCCGAGGAGCTTTCGAGCACTCATTGTAGATTCACTATACCTTGCTATATTTACTGCATATTCGATAAATGTTCTAATACTTACGAGCGGGAGTGTACGCACCAGACACAGGAGTTTATCTAGACATTATTTTTCATCGTGGATCGAGCTAATTGCCAGAATCATCGACGGAGGAATAATAACGTGTCCGATCTACTGCTCGATCTACTGTAATCGGCAACAAAAGCGCAGGGTTCAGGGTAGTGTTCGGCTGTGCGTGTTCGACCCTTCGTTTCGCTGTTTTTGTCGGTTTATTAGCGCGTTTAGTCGTCGAACGGGGGCTAGATAAGCCTTTTGACGCGGGTTTGCGAACAAGAGGTGCCTCGAACGCGACAGGGAGGAATCGTTTTGTTGCGATCCAACGCGGTGTTATTGGGTGGAAGCGCGATAAGCCACTCCCGGGGACGGTTGCCACCGCGAAAACGCATCGTCGCCGATAAAAAAAAAAAACTTAATCGCGGTACGGGCCCGGGAGATCGTAAATCTTCCCCACGGAACATCTACTGCCCGATGAGACCCGGAACGAAAACGTTAACTCAGGGCAAATTACTTCGATCCAGTCCTCCGACGTCGAAGTCTTTGTGAACATGGATAATATCGAGGATAGATGAGTTGTTTTTACGCTTGGAATTTTATTTCAATAAAAGAATTTTTTTTTTAAATGTGGACCGACTTTGAAATGCACTAAAAAGTAGAAAATAACTTCTATTTTGATTATGTATATAGAAACTAAGTTTTCTTAACCGTTGATGCATTTCTGTATAAATAATCAAAATAGAAGTTACTTTTTACTTTGTAGCGCATTTAGATGAAGGCGATCCACATTTTTAAAATAAAGTTTTTTTTTATTTCGTACTTTTTAGTGTCCTCGTTAACATTAGTTAGGCAGTAGCCGTAAAGAAAAAATCAAAGGGAACTACTTTGGACTATTTGGAAGGACATGATTTGTGAATAAAAACTATAGTTCATAATGAACGAAAGGTTTCATCTCGATTGGTCCATTCGTTGCATGGTAATCGCTGGACATACATAAAAAAGAACCTTTCATACACATCGAATTGTATACGTCCTCTTTTTCGAAGTCGGTCAAAAATACTTCTCGATTAATTAACAAATTTCTCTCTGTATTTCTTACTTTCTCAAGGAAGTATTACCACGAATCCTCTCTCGACGTCCGAGCTCGTGTCAAAGAGTCAGCCTCCGTTTCTCCGATTTCTCGACCACGATTCGAACCCAGACGAGTTCGGTTCAAGAGGCAACGTGATCGAGGAACTTATCGATACTCGAAACGAAATTCCTACTATCGTCGAAAACCTCGAATCGAAGCGATCCCCTCGACCAACCTCCGATTCTCCCGTCTCTAAGCGTGATCGTTGTCTGGCCATTAGCGAGCTATGTGCCCGGCTTTTTCCTCCTTTTTCCACTTTTTGTCGCTTCTGCCCGAGCGTTTTTGCGCGCGCACAGCCAGCACGGAAAGCTCATCGAGGTTTCTTGCTCCTCCCGTTGCTGTCGGGATTTCGTGTGCTAACGATTTCTAGCGGCGACGACTACGAACGAACCAGAAACCTTCGATCGATCGTATTTTCTCTGTGCCAACCGCGCGTTGTCTCGTTTTGTTTCACGTTAGAATGAAGCGTCGATAGCACTTACTTCCGTCGAAATATTTGGGTCGATCGAAATTTCACTTTACTCTAGAAACTCCACGAATGGTTCAGGTAAAAAAGTAAAACCGTTCACGCGTTATCGGTAGAATCGTGGCGAGCAGTGACGTCGTTTCGTCACGCTTTCATCCCAGACCACCAACGTCCTCAATCATATTATTTGTCACAGAATCTAATAAAAATTTCTATTCGAGTAGCGTAAAAGTTTATAAGAAGTAGGGATTTGTTACTCGAAATGTCGAAACATTCAAACCCCTCGAAACCAAGAATTTTTTTATGTATTTTTTTTCATGAATCGAAACTCTCGAAACCCAGGTGAAAAAAACATGACATTGATGTATAAATCTTGAATATTCGGTGCGAGATGCTTCGTGAATGTTCGGTTTTTTTTATTAACGATATAAAATGGAAGCAGATTGACGATCGATCGTTATCGTAAGAAGTGCAGGTCAAAAGCATGTGATTCGCAGGACCTTGTGTATTATTATGTCACCTGTGTATCATTTATTGGTAGTAAAAACAAGGAACTGTTAAACTATCGAGTGTTAGTGCTAAAAAAATTTCGTTTATGTTTCGTTAAAAATTTTCTTAAGACCAGCTCTTAAAATAAAATATTCTTACAAAACAAAATCAACCCCTCAAGTTTCGAGAATTTCGAAATCTTACAAGGTTTCGGATTCGAATATGGAGAGTTCAAAAATTAGATTCCAATCCACCTCAAATAGAAAGGTTCGTTCCTTTTAAAGTTTTTGTCTTCCGTCTCTTCGTCGTTACCAGACGTCGGACCCTCTCAAGAATCATAGAAGAGGAGTAACGATCACGAGGGAGAACGTTGCTTCGCGATAAAGCACGGAAATTCTTCGTTCTTCGCGTCTCCGTTGCCGCGGAACCAAGACGACCTTTATTAAAAGCCCGTTCGCGACTTTATCACGGGAAATCACGGGCCCCAGCCACGCTGCCAACCCTCGACATACACATATACTCAACGCAGCTATTATTAGTAGTCCACGTGTTAACAATGCGACGAGAAACGGGATCGTCTAGGTGGTCGTTCCCGAAACGACACGGTTCTGGCGGGCTCGACGAAGAGAACACCGGTCGAGCACCGGGATTTTCTTTTAACAGGATCTCGGGAGAAAGGGAACGGCTCCCAGCGACTCGAATATACATACAGGGTCTCCCAAAATAGGTGTAAGTACTTCGAATGGGTAATTCCTCGGATAATTTGAAACAATTTTTTCCTTAATGAAAAATTTCTCCGAGGCCATTATTCGGGCGGTAGATCACTTTATTATTAATTATCTCAGCACAGTAGAATCTGCGTGTGTAGGAGAAATGCCTCGCGTGGCAATAGGCCAAGTGGCAATATCGTAAGAGCCCACTGTAATTATTAGTTTTTGGACCCATATACCCCGATAATTTTTTACTCAGCGTTCCACACTCTTTTTACAAAATTTTACACATTAGATTTTCAAAAAATTTTACACATTAGAATAAAAAAAAAACTCAAGATCTTCATATCTCGATAAAAAAGTGGAGTAACAAAAAAGTAATTATTACATTGTGTGTTACCCTCGGTACCATTTAACTTTTGTTTCAAACATTTGTTTCATATAACAATTTACAAGTAGTTCAGGTGGCAGCGTTAGGTGAATCACACTGTATACCTATCTTCGACCGGTTGCACCGGAGATTATAGGCTACTCCCGGGGAAAGACTGTATAAATCGCGTATACGTGCGGTGAAACTCGATCGTGACGCGAGACCCTGTAAAAATTGATCGAATTCTCTGAGCGAATGAATTCGATTCGGATCATCGTGACAAATGAGTACTCGATCGTTTTTTTGATATTCGATAGTAAACGTGAACATCCGCCGCCGCGGTATCGATTAACTAATACCGCGTATCTCGCCGTTGCTGCAACGATGATTTATTAATCCGATACCGTGGCTTGATAAATAG